TTTATATATATATTTGATATTTCAGATTTAAAGTAATTTTAATTTATTTGTAACAAACAGTTATTTCTGATGAAAGATTGAGGGCAATCTGAAATATCAAATATATATATAAATAAATAAATTCTTTCACAAAATAAAACATTATTATTTTTTTAATTTGCAACTTTTCTATATATACATATTAAGAAAGTATACGTGGCTTCTCATTATCCTCTCTCTCTCTCTCTCTCTTCTCTCTATATATATATATATATATATATATATATATATATATATATATATATAGAGAGAGAGAGAGAGAGTGATAGATATTTCTATAACGTACAGGCATACAATATCGTTGTTTTAATACTCTTAGTTAATCAACTTATATAAAAATCGTGGTGTTTCCTTTTTTCCTGTGTTTCTCTGCGCATTACAATAAGTCATTATATATGTGTGTATGTGTGTGTATATATTTGTGTATTACTGTGTGTGTGTGTCAGAGATCCCGTGCGTGTGTGCACGTATGTATTAATGTAGGCTCTAAGCATATATATATATATATATATATATATATATATATATATATATATATATATATATATATATATATATATATATACATATATATATATATATATATATATATATATATATATATATATATATATATATATATATATATATATATATATATATATATATATATATATATATATATAGAGAGAGAGAGAGAGAGAGAGAGATTTTCCATACACTTATATATGTTTCATTTGATGATTCTTCTGCAGATGAAAATGTACTTGTTTTCCTGAAGGAATTCCGACTTTATGTCTACAATGTTTGTCAACCTCCAAAGAAATCGTGTATGACTCGATTAACTTCTCATTTCCTAATTCCTTCTCTTTCATTACTGTCTTTATTTTTCATACTACTACTACTACTAATTCTTTTTCTTCTTCTTCTTCTTTCTTCTTCTTCTTCTTCTTCTTCTTCTTCTTCTTCTTCTTCTTTCCGTCGTTTTTTATTGAGCATCTTTTTCCCTTACGTTTCTTTTTCTTTTCCCTCTTTTCTTCTTTTTCTTCTTTTCTATTCCTCATTGTTCTTACACCTCTTCTTTTCCTTTGATTATTTTTCTTCCTCTTTCACTTTTCATCGTTTTCTCACTTTTCCTGCCACTTTATATTGGTCATTGTTCTTTCATTTCTTTGCGTCCACTTCTTCTTCTTCTTCTTCTTCTTCTTCTTCTTCTTCTTCTTCTTCTTCTTCTTCTTCTTCTTTCTTTCTTTCTTTTCTAATTTTTCTCTTTTTGTTTTTTTTTGGAAATTTTCTTTTATTATTCTAATCGTTAATACCTATTTTCTTTTTCATCTAACTTTTCTTTCTTCCTTTCCTCCATCTTTTAATAAATGTTCTTTTCTTTCTTTCGTTGATTCGGTCGCTTCATCTGTTCTCTCCGTATTATTATTATTATTATTATTATTATTATTATTATTATTATTTACCCCCTTTTACTTTTCAGAAAAAAAAATCAGGTGACCTGCTGGGGATTTCTCTGTGGCAAACATTAAAACACAAGTTTCTACTTCTTCATATAAAACTTCTTTCAGTGCCGATTGTTTTCTACATTTTGTGCGCATCGAATCGACTTTTAATTTTTATTCTTTACGGAAAAAAAAGACGGAAATTTAACAAGTGTGTGTAATTCTGCCTCGTTTGATGAGAAGGGGGAAGTAGCCCGAATGAGCGATGTCAGGGTTAAGAGAAAAATTTAAAAAAAAAAAAAAATGGCATGAAACAAGGAATAGGCGGAATGGAAGGGGAGATAATTAAAGGAAAATGGCGGCCAATAAAATCGCCAGTACAGAAAAAAAAAAAAGAAGAAGAATTTTGTTTAAAAAAAAGAAGCATTTAATGATTGATACTAGGGAAAAAGACAAATTAGAAATAATGGGACATAGCAGATATATATATATATATATATATATATATATATATATATATATATATATATATATATATATATATATATATATATATATATATATATATATATATATATATATATATATATATATATATATATATATATATATATATATATATATATATATATATATATATAGAGAGAGAGAGAGAGAGAGAATGAGAATATCCTTTTGAGTGTTGGTGATAATAATAAAAAGTGCTCGTATAATAATAACAAACCTATAATTTATATTAATAATAGATATATATTTTTTCACACCGGTAGGAAAACTCTAAGATTTTGCCCCCATACAGCACCCAGAAATAAAATGGACTGATCCACAATGATTTCACTTTAGTATAAATACAATACAATAATGGCCTTCCAGCATATTTTTCTTCACTTTCGGGGCCCCTCGATGTGGTGTAATGGTTATCAAGTTTGTCTTGCTAGATCATTTACGACTGAGTAGTGAGTTCGATCCTCACTGGGTGCACTTTACTTTCGCCCTTGTGCCACATCCAAACTACGTTTGGAAAATCACTATCTTTCTTCACTTTCGTCCAGTCACTAAATAATTGATGAGATACTCGTTGGATAGTCTCAGTGTTTCTCGGGTAGTTCTTTCGAACAAGCTTGAAGCGTCTGGGCCCAAGAATTACTTTCTATCCCACTAGACACATCAAAACAAAAAAAGCTGGTATAAAATAAAATGCGAGGCCAATTTTACTAATTTGAGGCTCTCTCTGGATCAGCATCACCTCGCCTCGCCTGTCTACTATCTGCTTCACAACTGAGAAGTGTCGCCTGGATCAACGTCGTCAGTGCCCTCTTCATCTACCGGTACCCTTCTAGATGATGAGTGCACTCGGGTGTCGCGATCCGTCTGAAATTATGTGACCGTCACAGATGCAGATGTGGAGCTTCCATTGATGAGTTTGGTTTGCGTCCTCTCTACTGTCGTCGTAGTGCCAGTCGTTTACCACGGCATGCAGCAATAAAAAGCATCATCAGAAGAGTTATGGATGCAGCTGGGTTCTCCTCCCAAATGGAACCCGTAGGCCTCGACCGTGGTGATGAAAAGCGCCCGGATGGCATTACCATTTTTCCTTTTAAGATGGGGAAGTCGTTGATTTGGGATGCGACCTGTGCGGATAAATTTTCGGTCGGTAATTTGATCAGGTCCGCGGTTGAGCCAGGATCCGTCGCCCGGGACGCAGAGATAAAAAAATAGTTAAATATTCTTCTCTTGCTGATAGATTTTTTTTTATTTATTCCTGTGGCATTGGAGACTTCAGGGGTTATTGGCCCTCGTTCGATGGCGTTCCTTCAGAGGATTGACGCAATGGCGTCTCGATTAAGGGACGAGCCTCGTGAAACGGAGTGGCTCTTGCAGCGTGTCTCACTGGCGATGGTTCGAGGTAATGCTTTCTCCATCATTGCGGCTGGCAGAGGATAGTTTATAGTTACTTTTTTCTAACTTTTTTTCAATAAATAAATATTCTTTTCGTTATACAAAAAAAATGATGTAATTTTTCAGTTGACCATATGAACATAAAAAAAAAATTAAAATTTCAAGCAGTATCTAACGATTGCGTTGTGCATGAAACTCAGAGACGTTCTACCGGTAAGGAAAAAATGTATAATTATTATTAATACACCTGGAAATGAGACATTTTTGTATATTTTTTAAAAGTAAAAGATAAAATTTCAGTAAGTAGAGTTTATTTGCTCTTATTTTTCAATCTTTCTCCAGACACCTCTTACTACCAAAATATTCAAAGTTGGATTCGTCTGTCAACAATAAAAAATTTCTAAATTATAAATATTTTGTATTTTTAGACATTGACAAAATAATGAGCGTGAGCTTTTCACTGCTTGAAGAATACTTGGGAAGATCTAACATCTACTTTTTTTTCAAAAACTGTTGGAAAGAATCTCATTTTAAGGTATTTTTAAAGAAATGCAGTGTGGTCCAAAACCTTTTTTTGTGTAGTATATATATATATATATATATATATATATATATATATAAATATATATATATATATATATATATATAGATTTAGAATATGGGTTTTTTTCGCTACACAGTAGCTAAAAGCTCCGAATTTAATTTTGTAATTAAATTAAAGACATTAGTTCCATTTCATCCTCAAGCGAATTTTTTCAGAAAAACATGTTATTTCAAGCTTTTAGCTTCCATTTTTTTGAAACATTGTTAGAACTGTGTAGCGAAAAAAAAGTTTTTAAATCAATTAATTTATAATATTAATGCTCTGTAAATTTACATTGAGCACTATTTTTGTAAAAATAAAATATCTATACGAACACCGGATTATATATCTTACTGTTCTTTTATTTATATATATATATATATATATATATATATATATATATATATATATAAGCCAAATAATTAAATATTAACAACTAAATATACGTGCGTTAGCCTGCATACACGGGTAAGCGAATAAATATTTACTTAATTTAATATAAGGTCTAAACAAAACAGTGCTCAATGCGGTTAGAGAAAGATAAGAAGTATATATTAATAAATATGCATATACCTAGGTTCGAAGTGCAAAAAGTTTCGTGGTTCTACCAACTCATCAGACACAAACTATATATATATATATATATATATATATATATATATATATATATATATATATATGAGTGATAGAAATCATTAGGGGATTTGAGATAATCATAAGTAAGTGATTGAAATAATCCTCAACAGAATGCAGAAAGCACTGGACGGTCGTTTCGTCCTATATTTGGGACTCATCGGCAGTGCGTTGATACAGTTGGTATGACGCTTGCGTCGTATTTTAACGGTCAGGGTTCAATTCTCGGTAGTGGATGCGCACTGCCGATGAATCCCAAATATAGGACGAAACGACCGTCCAGTGCTTTCTGCATTATCTTGAGAATTCTTCTCGTCTCGATGAATTACTTAATTATATATATATATATATATATATATATATATATATATATGATAATTATAATATATATAACCGAAAGCGCTCGGAAATATAAAACATTAAAGCATAAGTAGATAATGAACTGACATAGATAGGGAGAGAGAGCGAGAGAGAGAATGAAATGAAATAGATATATAGATACAAACATAAACATACATAGAACAAAGATAGATAGATAGATAGATAGATAGATAGATAGATAGATAGATAGATAGATAGATAATGAACCGACATAGATAGATAGATAGATAGATAGATAGATAGATAGATAGATAGATAGATAGATAGATAAGTAACAAGCATCGATAGATAATGAACTGATATAAATAGATAGATAGCTAGATAGATAGAAAGAGGCAGATAAATGAAGTGAAATAGATATATAGATACATGAACATGATATGAACGAAGATAGATAGATAGATAGATAGATAGATAGATAGATAGATAGATAATGATAGATGAACTGAGATAGATAGATAGATAGAAAGATGAAAATGAAATAGATATATAGATAGATAATTAAGAAGCATCGATAGATAATGAACTGATATGGATAGATAGATAGATAGATAGATAGATAAAGAGAGAGAAAAAAGAGGGAGAAAAAATGAAGTGAAATAGATATATAGATACAAACATTTATAATGAAGATAGATAGATAGATAGATAGATAGATAGATAGATAGATAGATAGATAGATAGATAATTAAGAAGCATCGATAGATAATGAACTTAGATAGATAGATAGATAGATAGATAGATAGATAGATAGATAGATAGATAATGACCTGAGATAGGGTTAGATAGACTCATGACGTCGCGAATATGAGACTGATAGAGAATGAATAAAAAGATAGGATACAAACATTTATAATGAAGATAAATAAATAATTTTAGATAAATAAAAAAAAAAAAAAAAAGTCTCATCGAACTGATGGAAAATGGCGACAGAGACTAGAAATAAGGAAAGGTAAATAAAATGAAGTGAAATGAGAAATTTGTCAAACGGAATGTGATTCATATTGAACAAGAAAAGAAGAAATAAAGAAAAGAAAACCTTTCAAGCTTGAAATTGACAAATTCCTAAAACTGACCCACCGCCTATACGTCCTATGCCTAAAGGGATGAAAGAACACGCTCTGAAAGGTAACCGCACTGCTTCTTGTATTGTCGCTTCAAGACATATTTGCTGGAAACTGAATGCCCTTAGGTGTATGGGGGGCTGGATCTTGAAGTGGTTCTCGGGATTCCTAAAATGAGGAGAAAATCGAAAGAGAAAAAAAAAAAGTCCAGAGATGTCGTAAAAAAAATAAAAATATGTACTTTAAGTGTTAGATCAATTTCCCGGCTCAAGCAACTTTCTTGCCGATCAGTATTTTGAGGGTGACCAATAGGAATTTAAAGTGTTTTTGGAAACGAAAAGATTGATTAATCTCAAAGTTTTACCGCGCTCAGTAAGGCACACAGAAACACAAATGCGGAATATTCAGGATTTATCGACTTTACTATATAGGGAATGCCTTCAAGATTAGCCTGCTAGGTACTGCTCCGGGGTAAGATGCCCGAAAACGTGTTCCGACCAAATAATATATATTCATAGATTCACATGGTACCAATATTCCAGACTTTCTGGAAAAAAATAATATTAAAATTATACTGTTGAAATTTCAGAAAAAAAGAAAGCTATAGATGTTGCGTCAGGTATTCGAGAACAAATCTAAATTTTAAGTAAACATAGTATTTATTAGAGTTAAAAATCTACAAACAAGGGGGACTTAAATACATAGAAACAGAAGCTGGTGACCATGAGTATCTTTGTATAAGAATGTACTCGGGTATTTGCAGTGCATACGTTTTTCTGTATTAGAAATATTTACAAGAATTTATTTGTTAGTATGAGATTTTATCATGTTAAGATTTCATTGTCAGCTGAGCGTGTTTCTCACCTTATATATATATATATATATATATATATATATATATATATATATATATATATATAAATATTTCTTTCATATAGAGTATATCTTTAAAAGGGCCATATGAATAAAGACAAAGGAAAACATATCGAGCCGACGCGTTTCGTCCACTGATTTGCCATAAGAAGACGAAACGCGACGGCTAAAATAAATAAGTTCCTTTGTTTTTTTTATATATATATATATATATATATATATATATATATATATATATATATATATATCAAATAAATAAATATAAATAAATGTATGTGAACGCATTCACACACACATATATATATATATATATATATATATATATATATATATATATATATATATATATATATATATATATATATATATATATATATATATATATATATATATATATATATATATATATATATATATATATATATATATATATATATATATGTATGTATGTATGTATGTAAGCAAATATATGGATATATATCCGACAGTATATATATGTATGTATGTATCATTTCGTGTAAAAAAAAAACAGAAGTCAATGCAAAATAACGGACCTATTAAGTATATATAATAAATATACATAATACTCCACGCCGAGAGTACGACTCGGTGTTTCATACACTAGCCAATTATGTATAAATATATATATATATATATATATATATATATGTGTGTGTGTGTGTGTGTGTGTGTGTAAAAATTTTATTTAGAATATATCTTTAAAAGGGCCATATGAATAAAGACAAAAGGAAAACATATCCGAGCCGACGCGTTTCGTCCACTGATTTACCGTGATGTCGTCGATCAAAGGACGAAACGCGACGGCTAAAATAAGTTTTCTTTTTGATTTCATTCATATATATATATATATATATATATATATATATATATATATACGTTAAACTTTTGAGAAAAGTAGAGAAATTAATAAGAAGAATGAGATGGAAAGCATTCATCTTCCTTCGAGGGAATAACTTAAAAAAAAAAAAAAAAGAAAAGAACGGCTTTAAAAGTAAAAAAGTGGCATCATTTAACAAAAACTACAGGAATTTGAAAAGGACCTACTCAATATAATCAAAAACATCTCCTTAAAATAAACAAAATAGAAAAGATAAGCAACTTCCAAAAGCATCTAGACCAAATAGTCAAAGGCATCAACGACAGCGATAAAATACTAGTTAAGTCCGACAAAACAGGAAACTTCTACAAATTGACGGCAGACGACTAAAACAAATTAATTTAAAAAAAATTCAACTAAGACTTATAAAAAAAGCTAATAATAACGATATTAATATGGTAGACAGTATCAACAGAACTAGTAAAATTATTAGCGAAAAATTAAAAATAAGCGATTGGTAGGCAAACTAGCTGAAAAGGAATGCTACATCACTCTTAAGGACCACAAACAACATTTGAGGAAGACCCCATTACCAGAATGATGAACCAAACCAGACCCAAGATAGGAAAGATAAGCAAAAGAATCCTAGAAAGGATCACTAGGCAAATCAAAAAATGCCTTGGATTAACACTCTGGATTAATACCAAAGATGTCATCAATTGGTTTACCAACATCGACAATAAGCCTGATTGCACCCTAATACAGTGCGATATTGTGGATTATTACCAGTCAATATCAAGAGATCTCTTCACGACCGGCCTGAAGTTTCCTACTGTATATTCTGATTTAACTAAAGAAGAAATGAACATAATTCTTTGTGCAAAAAAATCTGTCCTCATCCATAATGGGGACCAATGGATTAAAAATCATAATTCTGATATCACCATGGGATCTTTAGACTCTGCATAATCTTCTGATCTTGTCGGTCTATTTATACTATACAATCTAACCGAGCATCGTGAATTAGACATTAAGGACATCAGGCTATACAGGGATAACGGGCTCATGGTATTGAGGAGCTCCACAAATTTTAAAATAGATAAAATTAGAAACATAATTTAAAAACTACAGTCAATACTAAATTAAAAAGGGTAAACTTCCTCGACATATCTCTAGACTTAATGAACAACATATATCTATCTTACAGAAAACCTAACACTAATCCCTTGTATGTACACCCTAAGTCAAACCACCCTCCATCTATAATTAAGCATATACCCAGATCAATACAGAAAAAAATCAGCATGAACTCCGCTCATAAGGAAATATTACAACAACAGAATAATTTTTATAACACAGCGGATACAAAAACGCTAACATAAATTATAGAAAGAATAGTACTAACCAGAAGAAAAACAGGAAAAGAAAAATCATTTGTTATACCCCTCCGTTCAACCAAATGGTTAGTATTAAGCTAGGACATAAGTTCCTAGCTTTAATTGAAAAACATTTCCCTACTAATAGCAGACTTAGCAAGATCTTTAATAAAAACACCTTAAAACTCAGTTACAGTTGCACTGAAAATCTAGAAAGAATCATAAAAAACATAATAATAAAACAGTATTGATAAAAATCCTAAACTAAAATGAAACAAAAATAATGAAAAATTATGTGATTGTAGAAACCCTGATAAATAAATTAAATGAATAAATGCCGCGTAAAATCTGTGGTATACCAATGCACTATCTCATCCATTGAGAGTTCTAACACTGATAGGATATACATTGGTTCAACGAAGAATGAATTTAAAATTAGATGGAGCCAACACAATAGATGCTTCAATAATATTAGAAATAGAAATCAGACATCTCTATCCAAATATTTTTGGCATTTAAAGGAAATGAATAAAACACCAAAAGTAAAATGGAAAATTATAAATAGAACAAGAACTTGTAAAACATGGGATGACCCATACCCTTTATGCCTACACGAAAAATTACACATTATTAAGTTTCTAAATAATGAAAAATTATTAAACTATAGAGATGAGTTAACGGTTTTTTGCCGACATCAACAAATTTTCTTATTAAATAATTAGCATAAAAAGATTAAATTTCATAGTCTAATAAAAGGTTTAAACCCTATCATAAGATAGAAAAACCCTTTATGAAGTCAAAAAAACAAATTGTAGTTCAGTGCGTCGCGTCTATGTACGAAACAGCGCATTAAAAAATAATAAATTAAAATAAAATAAAACAAAATTCTCTAGACACCTAACGACATATTATGATGCCATCAGATATCTTTCGCTGTGACTGACCAGACGATGTGCGTATATGAATGCCATCATTCACTTTGAAATGGACACCCCGATCCTACCTCGGCTTGACCTCTTTCCGAAGATGACTGATATGTGGATAAAAATTAACTCTTAGGCCCCTTATCAAAATGCTCGCCCCAGCCGTTTCCATAGTAATTAATGTTATATAACAGCGCCACTATTCTGCACCTGAAGATTGCAAGTATATATATATATATATATATATATATATATATATATATATATATATATGGGGGATTAAAATAAAATATGAATTAGAATGAGACACAATAATAGAATAAGGGACAAACAGTAAACGTTTATAAATGCTGTAACATGTTATAGTGATTTTCTAAGCGTAGCTTAGACGTGGCACAAGACCGGGAGTAGGGGGCACCCAGTGAGGATCGAACTCACTACTCAGTTGTAATTGTTCTAATGAGACAAGCTTGCTAACCATTACAGCGCCTCGAGGTGCCTATGCTGTAACATGGTATATAAGTTCTAATTAACCGTCATCAAAAATTTAGGAAATGACTTATGGAAGAGAAGGTTTCGGTATATTTATGCTGTTTGTTTAGTGTTGTTTTATTACATTGGTCAGGTAGATCTCATATGGGCAAGTAGATCTTACATGTTTTTTCATTGGTCAGGTAGATCTTAGGTGGTGTTTTT